CATCGGAGGCTCTACTGACTATGTCACCTAGCATGGTGATGAAACATCTGAACAAAGACAAGCCAGCTTGGCGAGCAAGTCAACAACCTCATCCATAACCAGAGCTACAGATCTTTGCCTATACTTTAGACTCTAAGGATTCTTGGAAGATTACTACCAGTGCATCCATTATCTCTATAGCTGCTATTTTGAATATTCCAGGATGTGTTCCATCAGACCTAGGTCAGTTAGCTCAGTTGGCCAGATGGCCTGAATGCAATGCATGGTATTACAGCATGTGGCTTCGTTCCTTGTACTAACTGCGGCAGTTCATGGAGGCTTGCCTTCCTTCACACTTAGACAATGGTGTCCTCCAAACGGTATGTGGCCAATTGTCCTTTTCTGTAATGGAGAAAGCTGTTTATGGTCCTTTATGGACAATAGCTAATCACCTCATTTCCAGACTAGTAACCCAATTTCCACTGAAACATCCACACCAAGAGCTGCAACTTGTATTTTGGGAACAGCTACAAAGTTGCTGGAAAAGCTCAGCAGGTCTGGCAGCATCTGTGAAGCATCACCCGAAATGTTATCTCTGATTTTTTTCTTCACAGATGCTGCCAGATCTGCTGAGCTTTTCCAGCAACTTTGTTTTTGTTCCTGATTTACAGCATCCGCAGTTCTTTTGGATTTTAACTTGTATCTTGGCTCTGCTTGAAGATTACAGTACTATTAAATTATTGGTTCTTATTAAATGTTTTTAGTATGATTGATATTCTTGTTTGTTTGTTTTTCAGAAAAAAAGACTTTTGCAGAGATTCTGGAGAATTTTCATCCAATTCGTTAAATTACCTGGCAGTAATTCTTAGTTACCTATGTGGGGTAATTATTATAACTCTCAGCACTGTCTGTCATCTGATGTATAAAAATATGCTGTGTACTGATGGTCTTTCTCATTGTAAATTATAATAAATTATATGAAATAATTATGCTGTTTTTATTTAATCCTGATATTAAAGGGTAACACACTTTAATGCAATCGAGACTAGTTTTATTCACAAAGCAGACAGATGGTTATTGATCTCTGAGCCTTTTGAGCAATGTGGTAATTTGAGGCAGACAGTAAACAAATTATTGCAATGCAGTTTAAATAACCTTTGAGAAATTTTAGCTAGAAATGCTGTAATTCTAGAAACTCAAACAATCTATTGTACCCTTTACACAATAGTCTATTTCTGCATAACACTTTTAATGTATACTGTCCCACTCTTATTAAGTGTTATGTAGATGCTTCAAAATTTGACACCAAACCACATATGACTAAAACTCTTCATCAGTGAGATTGGTTTTGAGGAGTGTCTTAAAGAATTTACAGCATTGAGCTGAGCGTACCAATGGTGGAGCAGTTAAATTGGGTTCTCAAGAGGCTAAAATTTAAGGAGTGCAGATATTTTGGAGGCTTGCAGATTTTGCTTCTCTCGGTGCAATGCCAATTTCACTTACATAGAGAGTCCTCCAGGCCAGAATAATTGACAAGTTACATAAGAAGTGTCATCTACTTTAATATTTGAGCTGTATTGATTATTTTTAGATACATACAAATTTACAGATTAGGAGCAGAAGTAGACCATTTGACAGATGATTTTGTAGAAGGTAAGATTTCTACATATTGCAATCATCAAGTGGTACTGAGTTTAGAGCTCTCGGGGTCAATAAAAATGTGAAATTAAAACAGATGGAATTGCGGGTAGTGTACTTACATGGATAGAGAATTGGTTGACAGACTGGAGAAAATAAGAGTAGGAATAAATCGTTTTCCGAGTGGCAGCCAGTGATTTATCGGTTACCATAGGGATCAGTGCTTAGACACCGGCTATTCACAATATACATTTAAATGACTGAACTAAATGTAATATCTTCAAGTTTGTAGATGTCACAAAGCTGGATTGAAGGGTTAATTTTGAGGAAACTTCAGAGATGCTTCAGTAGCAGAAGTATGTACTAATCTACAAGATGCCATGCAGAAATTCACCAAAGATCCTTAGCACCTGCTGGCGGCCTAGCGCCTCAGTGTTTAGCACTGCTACCTCAATGGCAGGGACCCAGTTTTGATTCCGCCATCGGGCAACAATCTGTGTGGAGTTTGCACATTCTCCCTGTGTCTGCGTGGGTTTCCGCTGGGTGCTCTGGTTTCTTCCCACAGTCCAAGGATATGCAAGTTAGGTGGATTGGCCATGCCAAATTGCTCAGGGATGTGCAGGTTAGGTACATAGGCCATGGGAAATGGAGGGTTACAGGTATAGGGTAGGGGGATGGATGTGGGTGGGATGCTGTTCAGATGGTCAGTGTGGACTCTTTGGGCCAAATGGCCTGTTTCCACACTGTAGGGATTCTATTCCTCCAAACCCACAGCCACTACAATCTAGAAGGACAAGGGCAGCAGATACATGGGAACACCATCTCCTGAAAATTCCCTTGCAAGCCACTCACCATCCTGACTTAGAAATATATCGCTGTTCCTTCAGTGTTGCTGGGTCAAAATCCTGGAATTCCCTCCCTAAGGCCATTTGTGGATCAACCTACAGCAGGCAGACTGCAGTGGTTCAAGAAGGCAACCAAGGGCAACTAGGGGCGGGCAGTAAAAGTGCTGGCTAATCAGTGATGCCCACATCCCACGAGTGGAAAAAAATATTTACCAAGTCGAGTGAATGGACAAGTACATGGCTGATGCAGTAAAATCTGGTTAAATGTGTGATTATTCACTTTGGCAAGAACAAAAGAGCAGATTATCTGAATAGTGATAGATTGGGAAAGGAGGAGGTGTAAAGTGACCTGGGTGACCCTGTATTATACCAGCCACTGAAGATAAACATGCAGATGGTAAAGAAGGCAAAGGGTATATTAGCCTTTATAGTGAGAGAATTCAAGTACAGGAACGGGGATGTCTTGCTACCTTTGTACAAGGCCTTGGTGAGACCATACCTGAAGTATTATGTGCAGTTTTAATCTGAGGCAGGATGTTCTAGCAATGGAGGAAGTGCAACAAAGGTTTACCAGACTGATTCAAGGGATTACAGGACTGATATATGAACACAGACTGAATCAATTAAAACTATATTCACTGGAGTTTAAAAGAATGAGGGAAGAGCCTCATAGTAAACTATAAAGTTCTAGTAGGTCTACACAGGGTAAAAGCAGGAAGGATTTTCCTGATGACCAGGGAATCCAGAACCTGGGGTCAATGTCTAAGCATATGGGGTAGGCCATTTAAAACTGAGATGAGAACTTTTTCACTAATGAGTGGTGAGTCAGTGGAATTCTGTGTCACGGAAAGCGCTTGAGGCCAAAACATTGAATGTTTTCAAGAAGGGGCTAGATATAATTCTTAGGGCTAAAGGAATCAAAGGATCTGGGGAGAAGGTAGAAGTAGGGCTACAGAGTTGGATGATCAACCATGATCATATCATACAGCAGAGCTAGCTCAAAAGGCTTAATGGCCTACTCCTGTCTTTATTTTTCTATGTTCCAAGTGGTGTAGGCTGAATTTAGGTTTATCGCCCACTGCTTGGTTTTCAGTCTGAGCTCAGTTGAATAGGATGGTGCAGCGTTAAAGCTATGGTGTTGCCAAATAAAGGGAATGAAAACCCGGATGAGTTATAATTGCTACTTCCAAGCAACAGAAGGGAGTCAAAACATGGCTCCACTTTCCTTGTTGTATAATTTACAAAGTTGATGCCTAGAATCAGAGTCCTAACAGCAGAGAGAGTCAATTTAGTGCATTAACCCATGTTAGCTTTCTGCTGAATAATCCAATTAGTTCCACTCCCTCACCCCCCAGACCCCTGCTTGTTTATTTCCTTCAAGTTTTCTTTGAAATCATCCATCAATTCCACTTCCATCCAAACATTATCGCTAAGTTTGCACCATCAGTTGTGCTGGTGTCCCAAAGGGGAACCTCAAGCAGAATTTTACTTCAGTTAATATTTTATCTTGCCGCTGATCATACCTGTCACAAATGAAAGCAAACCTTTACAAATTATTCTGGTATAGTGTGCTTCAGGTGAATAGATTTCCAGGTTTGACTTTTCTAAATAAGCACCCTTTATGCCTTTCTGCCACCACTGGCAAATTGAGGGATATGTGCCTACAATCACCTTGTCACAAAAATTCCTGGAAATGAGTGGTCTTGCAATTGGTCTGTTGTACTTAATCAATTGTATGAATTCACATGGGTTGTCCATTTAGAAAAGTGGCCCTGTTATATCAATATCTGGAGATAGACCTCCACAATGCACTGCTTTCAGCATATGGGTAATGGTCAGAGATCAAACCACATATTGGATCAGGTATGGCTGGCAAATGATTGAATTTATACAATGCATATTTCTGTCATATTTAATTATTCTTTTACCACAAATAGTCAGAGGCTGGGAATTCTACAGTGAGCAACTTACCTCCAGACTGCCCAAAGCCTGTTCATCATTTACAAGACACAAATCAGGAATGTGAAGGAATAATGGATTTCTGAAGAAGAGTCCCAACCCGAAACGTCAACATTCCTACCCTTATGAGCTTCTTCAGTTTCCGATGAATGTCCCGCCTCTGCATGATCTCTCATTATTCCTCTCCTTGTATATTAATGTTATATTCATCTTCTTTCATCAATAATAATTATAATATTCAACTATCAGTAGGTTGATTTGTTAATTGTGAAATGCTTAGTGTTTGTTTTTCTCAGCTTAGCCTATCTTTACAAAAATACAGTCATTGCAAGTTCAGGAAGAGGCTTTGAAGCATTCAGAGGCATTCTTTCCCTACTGCATGAAGCTTGAATGTCTTACTGACTCACATAGTCCTGTGATTACATGTGCAATAGCAAAACTTACACCTACTTATGTTCTCATTTTTTGGATATTTATTTCTTCTGGAGAACTGAATTAATATCATACAAGAAGCTTAGTTCACATCATAAATGCTTTATTCCACAGAGGAAACAAACAGCGCAATGGGAATGATCCAAGTTACCTAGTACAACTTGTGGCCACATAATAAAACAGTTGAAAGTACTACAAACTACAATGCTTCCATCAATGGTGAATCACGTTATTTAATTTAGAAACAATAATCCTTATGTATCATGTCCTGTAGCCAATAAGCATTGTCTCTGTGGTCCTCTTTCATTTATAATCTGTTGTCCAAGCCAATATTATTCAACGATAAAAGTAACTAATAGATTGTAGAAGACTTTACGATTTTCTGATGCTGTGAAAGGTGCCATATGAAAGGAATATCTTTTTTGCTGCATGTCTGTCTGCCGGGATGCTATCTTGCTTCACAAAACTCAAGTTGTTCCCCTGGTTGTTTGTGTTCTATTCTTTAAAAAATACCTCTCTGTGCAAAAAGCCTGTCTCTCCCACAGTTACCCAGGGAAGCTCATGAAATGTTTCTTTTTTACCCTCTGAGAGATGAAAGGCATTAACACCTTTCAATAAGATGTCTATTTTTCTAAAGTCACGAGGAAGATTGAAGGGGGAATGATTTACATATATACATCAATTTTTACAAGATGATAATCTCCAAAATCTATTTCTCTGGAGTTGGCTGAGGGGCATAAATTAACTAGAACACTGGGGTGAACTCCTATAACAGCACTTCTTTGAAATAGTGTCATAGGATCTTTAACTTTTACACGATATAAAAATAAGCACAAAGGCAAGTGGTGAGCAATTGAGAATCTTACTATGAATCTACAGAGGGATACAGACAGGCTAGGTGAGTGGGCAAAAGCTTGGCAGATGGAATATAATGTGGGAAGGTATGAGGTTATGCACCTTGACGGGAAAAATAGAAGATGGGAGTATTATTTAAAAAGAAGAAGACTGTAAGAGGCTGCAGAACAGAGGGATTGGAAGGTTCTCGAGCATGAATCACAAAAACATTAGCAGCCAAATATGTAATAGGGAATACAAATGGACTGTTGGCTTGTATTTGAAATGGAATTGAGTATAAAAATAGGGGGGTCTTGCTAAAACTATACAAGGTACTAGTCAAACCTCACCTGGAATAGTATGAATAGTTTTTGTCCCCTTATCTAAGGAAAGATATATTTGCCTTGGAGTCCAAAGAAGGTCCACAACGATGGCTGATCCTGGGTGTGGAGGGACTTTCTTTTAGGTGAAGTTTAATAGATTGGGCTTTTAGAAGAATGATGGGAGACTTTTTTAAAACAATTCTTAAGGAGCCTTGATAGGGGAAGTGCAGGGAGGTTGTTTTCCTTTAGGGGAGAGTCTAGGATCAGAGGATGTAATCTCAGTAAGGGGTCACATATTTAAGACAGAGATGAGGAGTAAATATTTCTCTCAGAGGGTATTGAATCTTTGGAATTCTTTGCCACAGAGGACTGCCGAGGCTGGGTTGTTTAATATATTAAAGGCTGAGATAGACAGATTTTTAATTAGCAAGGGAATCGAAGGTTATGTGAATAAATGAGAGAGTGGAGTTGAGGACTATTTGATCAGCCAAGGTGTCATTGAATGGCAGAGGGAACTTGACCTACTTCTGCTAATACATCTTGTGGCCTTATGAGCATTTAATGTCTCAGCCAAAAAATGATGCAGACACTACCTTGGGGAGTCAGATCACAATTATCAGGTTCTTGGAGTGAGACCTGAATTTACAGCCCATTGACTTGCAAGTGCTACCCAATGAATCACAATTGATACTTCGAGAAGAATCATTTCTTTGAATCCAGAGTAAAGTGAGTTCTTCTTCCCCATTTCTTTCAGGGGTAAAAGTAATCAGAAACCTAACACTGCAACATTATTGAACAGAAAGGCATATAAATGAGAAAAAAACATATCTTAAATACTCTGTCCAATTTTATTTGTGCCATATATGGGAACAATGCATTTTGTTCACGTTGATACAAATCATGTACCATTAGGAAAATTGTGCATATTGTAATAGTTGAATCAGCCATTTTCATCATAATACAGTTTACCAAAATGTTTCTTGCAGAAGGAAGGTTTCATCAGCTGATTTTAAAATTCACAAGTGCTGCACATTTAATCTTTCTGCCTTGTGGCTGGCAAAATTAGTACAGTTGAAGTCTCCTCTCAAAAAGCTTGTTGGTACTTTTGCAAATACAAATCCAATGGTGCATTCTGGATCATTCCCAACACATTCTGCAGTTGGAAGTCTGTAAGGTTTTATTTTGGTCTTTGTTAGTGGCCAAACAGAAAAGTTACCTTGCTTTCTCCTCAGATTCTTTCTTTCAGGTTGTTCATTCTTGGATGAGCAGTTATCTTTCTCTTCTTTGCATCAAAGCTACAAAGAAATTCCTATCATGTCCTTATACCTGCTGGTCAACATGTTGGCTTTTTTGGTCAATGTATTCAACACAGCACAGAGCCCCTTCACATGGACATAGAAAAGTGTCTCTAAATTTGTCTCGTCTTCATGTTCCAGGTCATAGGCATCGTTGATCTGTCGTTTCAAATCTTCAAGGGGCAGACGACCGCTCTCCACAATGTCTTTGATGTATTTCAGCTGGATGTAGCATTCATACAAGTTCTGAGAACTGACTGAGACATCTTTTGCTTCATTTTGATCCTCCAAAGGGATGTCTTGAAGGAGGCTGGGAAGCATGACTGTCTGCTCCATATTCTTCACTGCGGATGAATACTTGCTCATAGTGGCAACGAGGAAATTTGTTTGCTGTTGAGAGATGAAGGACTGCATATTGTTTGGTGTTGAGACGGCTGTGCAGCTGGAGCTGTGCAGCAGTTCTAGAGTCACAGAGGAGGAATGAGTAATCTCTCAGGATTTATGTACTGCTTAGAAATGGTACAATGTTACTTCAGTTCAACCTGTATATCAGATCATTTTCAAAAAGGTCACACAAACATAGCAGATTGGTATCTGATAGGTCCATGTTTAATTTGGATTATTTTAGGCATGTAACCATCTACTGTATCAACTGAAAACTGCCATTGACTTCAATAAATTATTTGCTTAGACATTACATTGACCGCTGGATCCATTAACAGTGGATTTCACAATAAAATGCAAGTGGTGTAATTGGTAGTCATATGTGATAGGATGCCAGCCGACATACAAAAGTTAAATATTTAACTGCATTCTGTAGGTCAGGGATATCTTGAGCAAATCTGGTTTATTGAAAAAAAGCACTTTATCTGATTGCTGTAAGTCTCAAAAATTATTTTTGGGGATGGGGATTTGAGAAAAAATAGAGATCAGTGGGATTCAGAAACATCATCCCTTGCTGCCTTTGGTCTATTTTTTGAAAAGTTAGAGGTGACAAATATGCAGTAGGGAGCTGCATGTTCTTAATAATGACAGCTCAGGTTCCCTTGTCAAAAAGAAATTTACAGGCTTCATTGGCTGTAGTCATGGAGCAGAAAATGACTTTGCATTGACAGTTCTGTGCTTTAAAGGGTAGCCTGTGCTGCATTTGAGGCTGAATTGCAATGCTTCCTAAATCCTGTTCTAATCCCAAAAGAAATGGCTTTTGAGGCTTACAGTACCTCTTGTAGTTTTTAAAATAGTTTACAAAGAATTTCTGACTTGCAGACTTTTAATCATTTATCCAACTTGATATTGGTTCAAGCTTTATTTTATCTGTATATGGTAAATTAAGGCAACAGTAGCAGCACTCTCTTTCTTTTACCTCCCCACAGCCTCAATACAATGCTCCAACTTAGAGTTATGGAACCATAAAGTTATTATAGTCTTGATGGATCTTCTTTAGTTGGTTGTTAGTCTAACTATTCATACGCTCAGGGTCATTCAGCGAGTCTGTACATGCAAACATATGAATCAGGAGCAAGAGGAAGCCTCTTGGCTCTTTGAGTTAGATCCATCGTTCAATAAGATCATGCCTGATCTGGTAACTGTACGTTCCTGCCTATCTGTAATAATCTTTAAATCTTTTGCTTATCAAGAATCTATCTACCTTTGCCTTAAAAAGATTCATAGACTAGTTTTCAACCTTCTGAACTCCAAAAGGTCCAAGCCTACCTGTTCAATCTTTCATCATAAACCAACTGGCCATTCTGGGCATTAGTCATAGAACCTTCACTTTCAACACTTTTACATCATTCCCTAAATGAGGAAACCAATACTGTATGCAATATCCCAGATCTGGTCTCACTAATGCTGTGTATACATGGACAATAACTTTCATACTTTTCTATTCATTTCCCCTTACAATAAATGATAAAATTCTAATCACTTTCATAATTAATTTCTGGATTCCAACCTTTTGCAATTCATGTCCTTGGGCACCCAGATCCTACTACTTCTCTGAATTCAGCAATTTCTCATCATTTAAATAACACACTTTTTAATCATCCTGCCAAAATGAAGAATTTTACATTTTCTCACATTATACTCCATTTGTCAAATCTTTGTCTATTCACTTAACCCCTCTATATCACCCTGTCCTATGTTCTCTTCACAATTTACCTTCCTACCAAGCTATGTGTAATCAGTAAATTTAGCAACTATAGCTCCAACTCCTTTCTAGCTTCATTCAAGTCATTTGTTAAAATTGTAAAAAGTTGAGGCCTCAGCACTGATCCCTGTGGCACACTACTTGTTACAATCAGAAAATGAACCTGTCATGCCTACTTTCTGTTTCCTCTTAACCAGCCATTCCAATAGGTTACCCCTACACAATGAGACTTTATTTTTCAAAATACCCTTTGATGAAACATACATAAGAGTAGAGTATTCGACCATTCGAGCCTGCTCCATCATTCAATAAGATCACGGCTGATCTGATTCTAACCTCAACTCTTCATTCCTGGATATCCTCGATAATCTTTCATTCCCATGGTAATCTAGAATCTATCTGCCCCTGTCCTAAGAATATTTTTTTTCTTTATTCATTAAAGGGATGAGGACGTCACTGACTAGGCAGCATTTATTGCCCACCCTGCAATTAAGAGTCAACCACATTGCTGTGGGTCTGGAGTCACATGTAGGCCAGACCAGGTAGGGATGGCAGTTTCCTTCCCTAAAGTGAACCAGATGGGTTTTTTCCCAACAATCGGCAATGGATTCTTGGTCATCATTAGATTCTTAATTCCACATATTTTATTGAATTCAAATTCCACCAATCTGTCATGACTGGATTTGAACCCAGGTCCTCAGAATGTTATCCAGGTCTCTGGATTAACAGTCCAGTGATAATACCACTAGGCCATTGCCCTGTATAACTGGGGCATAACCTCCTTACTCTTGCATTCAATTCCCCTCACAAAAAAACACAATATTCTATTAGCTTTCCTGATGACATGGTGTACTACATACTAACCTTGTGTGATTCATGCACCAGGACACCCAGGTCTCTCTGCATCTCAGAGCTCTGCAGCCTGTCACCATTTAGATAATGCTTCTTTTTCATTCTTTCTGCAAAAAATGGATTCACCAAAATTATGAAAATTGAGACAGTGCCTTACCAAATGCTTTGTGGAAAGATAAAGTACTTCCAACAGTTACTCCTTATCCATAACACATTTTGTCCAATCATAGAACCACATTTAACAGTAAAGGAATTTAGGGTTATGGCGAGCGAGCTGAGTCCATGAAAACATCGGCCATGATCTTATTGAATGGCAGAGCAGGATGGATGGGCCAGATGGCCTACTCCTGCTCCTATTTCTTGTGTTCTTATGTAACAGTAGATGTATGGGTTTTGGATTTGTAAGTGTTGTCTGAATGAGTACAATCTGTATTCTCCCTATTACGAACAATCATAAGGACTTGCTGGGAAATGGAAATGGAAATACGACTTGTGTAGCTACAGTGTAGAAGCAATGTGAAACAGCTTGTTTAACCAATTTTTTCTAGTTATTTGGTAGCACAGAACTTGACTATTGGTGAAAAAAGATGCAAACTGTCAACACTTCTGTCTTGCATGCATCAAGACGCTTCATTAGAAATACCAATTCATGAGGAAAAATTATGCTTTATGAGAGGAGAATGCTGATTGGTTGGCAGATAGACCCTGATTGGCTGAAGCACTGACATAGACAATGAAATGATCAATGATGATTGACAATTAACTGCCAGCTTTGTTTACATTTTAAACCAGGTAGGTTGACTCTGAAGCTTGGATAAAATTTGTCTTTTTTCAGGAATACTCTTTTCTTTTGTAATAACTTGCCCTTCCAGTCTAATATGACATTAGCTGGACAGTTTTCCTGTCCAAAAGCAGCTATTTTTGGCCCATTTGCAAGTCTGTGCAATAGTCAGTGAGCAATGATCTGATCAGAATAATTGTTGTCTTACAGGATAGCTTTGATGTACTCAATCTCTGCCTAATATTTCCAACATGAACAAATCTCTTGGGCCCTACTTACAAGACTGTTGATAAGGACAATCTTATAGTAAGGATTTCTTATACATTCCACCTCAAACTGAGATTCACATTTGAGATGGAGCAGTCTACAGGTTCCTCTTTCCTTGACATCCTAATTCAGAAATCTTTTAATAGGTTTCTATTTCTGTCTACCACAATCCTACCTTGTCTGTGTTGTAATTCCTGTAATCTACTTGTATAGTGTCATATAGCTCTACTGTATATAACATATATCATATTCCTCTAGACTTAGAGCCATCTGAAAAGTTGAATATAGAATAACTCTCCTTAATCCAAGGACTTCCACTTATATTTATAAAGAACAGAGATCCCAGAACGATCCCTTTTATTATGACTTCTATTGGGACTCATAACTTTTAGAAAGATATTTTAATCTCCAGTGGTAGAGTAACGACAAGATTTTAAACTTTAAGACTTTTACTGTAACAACAAATTAAAAGGGACATTGATGAACTAAGAAAGCTGACATTTTGGGTCAGGACCCTTCAGAAATGGGGGAGGGGGAAGGGAGCTAGGAAATAAATAGAGAGAGAAGGGGTGCGGCTGGGGAAGGTAGGTGGGATGGTGATAGGTGAGTGCAGGTAGGGAGTGGTGGGGACTGGTCAGTGAGGTGGGGGAGAAGATGGACAGGTTGTGTCAGGTCAAGGAGGCAGGGATGAGAGGGAGACTAACCCTCCTTTTCATCCCCACCTCCTTGACCTGACACAACCTGTCCATCTTCTCTCCCACCTATCCGCCACTCCCACCTCACTGACCAATCCCCACCATACCTACCTGCACTCACCTATCACTATCCCACCTACCTTCCCCAGCCCCACCCCTCTCTCTCTATTTATTTCCCAGCTCCCTTCCGACTCCTGCATTTCTGAAGAAGGGTTCCAACCTGAAACGTCAGCTTTCTTGCTCCTCTGATGCTGCCTGGCCTGCTGTTTTCCTCCAGCTCTGCACTATGTCATCTCTGACTCCAGCTTCGGCAGTTTTTACTATCTCTCATTGATGAACCAATGTTTATTTGGCAACTTATACTTGACAATTAACAAAAGATGAACCTTTTAAGAAGACTGACAATACTCCACCATCATTATACTTTACTATGTTGACCCTTAAGTGAGTACTTTATTTTTTTGGAAACAGTACAAAGTTATTTTCTGCTCTGTATTGCTTGCTTTCCCTTTTCCTTTCACAGTCAAGTGACTTCTAACCAACCCATACTCACAAACCCATAACACTGTGATGTTCGTAGATGTGATTCTACATTTGGACAACATTTGTGGGATAATCCTGAGTGCAAAATTTACACTGACAGCAATTTCAGATTGTTAGTCTGGCTTGCAGTGTGGCATGTTTGTGGGTATTGTAAGCAATATATATTAATACATAAGGCCCTGTTCTTGATTAATACAAAGAGCCCATTTCAACTCTGCCAAATAGGTGATAGCCATTTGCTGGTTCAATTC